TCGCCGCCACCACCATCATCATCATCATCCCCATCATCATCATCATCATCATCATCATCATCATCATCATCATCATCATCATCATCATCATCATCTGACACCGACGAAAACAACGACTGTGATTACCACTTTGTTAGTAGCATCATGATGCCGATGATGGTAGTGGTGGTGGTGATGGTGATACAACACCACTAGATTAAAATTCTTCAAATAATTTGGATCAAAGCGTTCTGTCTCCTCACACCACATGTTGCCACCACCTTCTGCTCCTTTGTAACAGAGCTCAACTCAGTACCCTAACCGAACGCCTCCAGGTCACATCTTTCCAGTTACTCCAATCTACATGCATTAACATGTTGACATGACACCTCAAAGCAACACGTAGGTATTGTGCCAATCCACGGCCAAACTTACTCCCACCCCTTTTGAGGCACATCAACAGTCACGTGCATTTTACAAGTTATAACGTCACCACCACAGACTGGCTGCATCGACAACCACTCCAACACTTTGGGCCATCTCATCCAAACTACAACTGCAATTTCTCTTCAGTGCCTCATCACTCAAAGCTGCCTGGCTCTACCTTGAGCACGCCTCTTGCTACTACTCTTAACTCTTCCCCAACCTTTGCTAAACACGACACGAATACGCCTTCTGCAGCTTCTACTAACCAGCACCAATGCAACAGGCCAAGCTTCCAATTACATCGGTGACACTTAATCTACTTCTCACGCATCCATGGAACACCACCGCCTCATGAGTGACAATAGCTGCATTCTGAGTCACAGGCGAGATAAAAACACCGAAGAACACAAAAGCGACTATGAATTACCTCTCTATGCTAACTTTATTCATGCACACTCAATCAGCTACAGGTGAGGGGGAAGAGCTCCCACATTTCAAAGCCTCCACACTATCGAAGTGCTTCACTCATGAAGAACAGTGTGGGCAAACCTCGACGTACCTTAGTAGCTCCGTCGGTCATCAGCTGGTTTCATCGTTCCCCCCAGCTCCTACCCCTGCACCTGCCCCTATCCCCGCCCCAACACCACAACTGCAAGAGTGTGGTGGAGGCTGTAGTAGAGGGACAACTACTTCAACATCATGTGCACAGAGCCAAGTGATAAGTTCAGGGGGTAACTAATGCGAAATAAGAAGCTGCTCTTGCCCTCGAAATGCCACATGGAAGATGAGATAGTGCGCATTCAAATGGAGGACGCGTAGTCAGAACACGGATTGCCCTCATCGTACACATGTTTACCTCGTGTTCCAGCTTCCACCTACACAATGAGCTGTGACTTTGAAGTCAATAACAGTTTAAACCTCCTTTTCGGTCAATCATGCACTTGGCACGTACGATGTACGCTTAAACGACACAAAAGTGGTGTGACATCTCAGTGCTATTGGTAATTTGGTCTTAAAATCACAGGTTGGTGTAA